AAGGACCTACTGAGGGACCAGCTTGTTCCCTCCGTGTCTGTTGTGTGCTATAGTCCACGTGGCAGCTGTACTGTACACATATGTCTGCTTGTGTGGCTCACAGCATCTCCTGTGTGTGGACAGTCACTTTCTAGTCTGTAGGCTCAGTCAGTTCAGTACTAAAGGCCTCTCACAGCCTCTTTGTGGCCCAGCAGGAGCTTTAGCTCTGGGTGGGAGTAGGAGGTTTGGGGCACACCGCTCAGTCTTCTCCTCTCTCTGTAGGAGGCACAGCGTCTCTTTGTAGACGCAGAACACACGACTGGTGATCTCTGAGCTTATCCCTGCTTGTCCTCTCCCTCTGCTTCTTGCTGCTGCCACCTCTTTTCTCTTTGCTTCTAATAGTCTGGAGTTCCTCAGATGCACGCCACCACCATATCAACACCACACATTTATTTATTAATGCCCTGTGGATGGACTGGTTCGCACACCAAGAAGATGACACCCACCATATTGACTGTTTTCAGCTGAAGTTCTTTAAGAATAGCTCTCTAATTAGGAATCTTCAGACTGCTCGTTGTCTTGGACAGAATTATTTTATTTTCCAAATGAGTTTTAGTCATAATGAATATAAACCATCAAACAGTCCAGTTTTGTTGGGTTAAATATAGTTTGAGTGGGTTTAGATAATATTACTGTAGTGTGATCACAGTGGCTCTACAGTCCTGTCACTTTGATTTGTGCCAGTTGCCATCTATTGCTGAAGTCTGTCATCTCAGACATTTTTCTCAAGAGCTGGTTCCTCACTCACTGTTCTTCCCCCGATTTCCCTCCCTGCCTCTCTGTTGGTGTCAGTACAACACATAACTCTCCACAGATCAACTTTGTGAACATCTCTTCATCATGCTCACATCCATCACTGTGTGGAAAACACCAGACAAAATTCACAGGTTCCATTTGACAAGATTTATGTGGTACATACAAAATCAAAGAAGGGACTGGGATCATCTCATATTAGATTTATTTTGGTCAAATTTTTAATATATACCAAAAAAAGTGTCTTTTTACAGAGCTTTGTTTTCAGAAGACACTTTATACCTTTTGTATTGTACACAGAAAGCTTTGATCATGGGAAGAGTATCAGCCAAAAAGAAAATCTATATTTGTTATACATTTGAACAAAACTGCATTTAAATAACTTGAAATGTTAATCTACAGTGAAAGAACTATCATGTTTGTTACCAGTTAGCTCTAGATTAGCATCTCACTGATATACAGGGCAGCCTTCCATAGAAGGGTTTCTGAACGGACCTATACCGAGCACAGGCCCAGGCACCTGAGGCATCAGAGGAAACTTTGACTAGAGCTTCTTTTTACAGTGACTGCTAACATTTCCTCTTAGGAAGTCAGTGACTGCAAAGAGAAATAAAATTGCCACAAAGAAATGCTAAATGGGTATGAGACAAAATTAATAAACATGAATCACTAAGCTTCCATAATTTATTTAGATACTGTAGCCAGCATTGTTGACCACACCTGGGCTGTGTCCAGAATCACTATCTACTCACTATATAGTGTGTTCGCCATGTTGTAGTGGTGTCTGAACACCGAGTCTGTAAATCTAGCCACTACATACTGTAGTCCACTCAAAAGTTTCACATAAAAAGTGAGGTGGAAAATGATCATCGCAAGGTCCTACAACTGTCAGTAATGACTCAAAATTACAATTAAGTGTCTGAAATCTCAATTTACTGTTCACTACTGAGTGAACTACCTGGTGTACAATAGGGAGTAGCGAATAATAGTAATAATAGGGAATGATTTTGGACCCAACCCTGTTCTTTCTCAAGGCAAGTTGAATACCAGCTCCGGGTAGGTTTACATGGCACAACACATCTCACATCTGGTATGAAACAGTGACATCATCAACAATCCACAAATGTGCATCTGGAAAAAAAAAAGATAATTTTGATGTAAACAGCTACGTAGGCATGTCATCCATCACTTAAGATTTGTTCCCTGCTGCTGGGGCATTTTAAGATCCAGACTGCACTCCCGCTTCACAGCGTCGACAAGCAAATGGCTCTCATTGGCCGCTAATGGGGAATTTAATTAGTTTGACAGGGGCTAGATGAACGAATTGAAGCCACATGAGATCCCTGCTAATGTAGTGTAATGGCTAGCGTGTGATTAGACGTGAGCACATAATTCAGAATGAATCACTGACTAGACGCTGGAAAGTTCAAGAAGTTTTAACTTTTTAGGCTGAAACAGCTGAACTATAATTAGCCCGTTTAAGGCCATGTAAATCTACTTTAGGCCTGTTATTATTATGAAGTAAGAATGAACCATCTTCATGTTTGTGTTTTCAGCCTTTTAGAAATTATAATACTTTACATACCTTATTTAGCAGCAGAAAACAACTGCAGCAACTTGTTTTAGCTGTCATTTAAAGGAATAACTGGACATTTCAGACCTCTGCTCATGTGCTTTTTTGCTGAGTTAGATGAAAAGATGAACCACCGTCATCTTCGCCAAGAAAAAGTCTGGCACAAAACTCCCTGTAAAACCACATTCTGGTTTTTACACTTTCTTCTTTTTAATGGATAAAACAAAAACAGATATAGCGTTAGTGTTTTAGAGGTGCTTCTAGTCTTTATGCTAAGCTAAGCGAAGCTAAGCAGCTGCTGTGGCCTATTTACTGCGCAGACATGAGTGGTCTCATTTCTCTCATCTGTCTGTCAGCAAGAAAGCATATTTCCCAAAGTACTAAACTATTCCCTTAAGATGAAATGTTTATATGTTTCTGTTCATACTGTTGTGAATGTGTGCAGGCACAAGTGTGCTACAGTCAAGGTTTCCTCTGCCCCCAGGTCCTAATTCAATAATAACTTGCTAATCACTCGACCTGCGGTTCTAATTACAAGTGTCATTAAGTGCTCCTTGTTACTAAAGAGCTGATGGGGAGAGAGGCAGGGAGAGTGTTGATACTATTCTTACAATCTGACATGTTCCAGTCCAGTCATGACCAATGTCATCAATGTTCATATATGTTTTACAGGTGTTTTTAGTCATTACAACCTGGACCTGTTCATTATTTTGTCTTGAAGCTCGTTCAGGTTCCTCCTAATTGTGTGTGTGTGTCTGTTGGTCCAGGGGAAGGAGACGACAGAGGAGGAGGATGAAGTCGCTGTGGGAATGGACAAAGGCTTTATGGATGAATTCTTTGAACAGGTTTGTTTCTCTCACAGTAATGATCTTTCTGTCTTCTCTGTCAGACACTGTTATTCCCATGCACACATTAAGAGAATCATAGCAGGCATAGTAAGTAGTCACCTTAAATTAAAGTCCATGTCTTGTGCTGTAATCTACAGTCTACATGGGTATCGTTCTTCCCCTGATTGCGTTGGCTCTTCACAGTGCTGTAATCAATCTCATGCCATTCCTCTTCCCTGGGGAGCAGAGACATGATTTATACTGATGTTGCTGGTTTGGAATGGATTATGTATTTTATTTTATTTCATAAAGCTTTTATTGATTTTAAATCACAATAATTCTCTTTTCTCATTAACATGTGTGATTTCACTTTTCACTTTCCTATGTAAAGCTGCATCAGTGCATGCGTTGGGAGTATATTTTCCTGTACACACTGTGCACATGTGCTGAGAACACAAACTGAACATCAACATGTAGCAGCAGCTGACATCGCCTCCCCAGAGAGATGGAGACCTGCTGTGAATCATTAGTCATATGGAGCCAAGCTGACTTTACTCTGTGACATCTTTTTCAGTGAGTAAAGTGGCTTCTGAAATTCCCTTTTAATGGACCTGCGACATACACCTCCCACAGCGAGTGGTTTAGAAGTAAAACTACAGGGTAATTCAGCTCAAACAAGAAGAAAGGTGTGGAAACTTTACATCTTTTAAATACTCCACGTTTATGGTCATATATCATGTTTTTCATCCTCTGTCACTGCTATATTTATTATACTTTATGAGTGAGTGTATTAATTTACGTACAAGGTGGCTTTAACTTTGAAGCATTAAATCAGCAAGTTCTTATACTTGTACGACCCATATGGCCTTTTGTTTCTTCTCTCTTGTACCACTCATAGGGACATCTCATTAAATAGTGCTCCTATGGTAGCGGGAGGAATTGCACCTCTTCCTGAGCTTTACAGACCTTTGTCATCACGGAAACAGCCATAAGCACAATTTCAGCAAGTCCATCATAGGTATGATGTTACGATTATGAAAACATCACGGTTTCATTATGTTTTGTCACAGAAACTACTTGGTTTTGCTGAGGAAGAAATACTTCGTTAGGTTTAGGTAAAAAAAACACATTGTTACATTTAGACATAAACTGACTCCTCTCATAATTAATACTGTTGCTAGAATTGGCCAAACTAGAACACAACATTTTGTCGTAATAGCCTGCTGGCACAAAGGACAAGAGGACAGTCTTGTCAAGCATCATTGCAAATGCTGCTAAAAAGGTGGGTTGCCTCAGGTTGAATGCCATTTAGAAGCATTTGTGAGTTTGATAAACAAGTTTTCAAAGCGATATGAGATGTTAAATTGCATGTGACGGAGCTTCAGGTTCATCAGCCAAAAACCCTGTACAGTATACATATTTAATATACAGTTTCAAGGAAAAGCTGTGGAAAATACAGACAAAAAATATCAACCGCGAGAAGCAGCCATCACCTGTTGTGACTAACCTACAGGCATATGATTCTAATATCCTTCAGACAGGTATAGAACTCATTTTAAATTCACATGGCCCATACAGTTTCAGTCACCTATTACCACAACCTCTCATTCAAGCACCTGAGCAGCACATCAAGAGATGTGTCTCTCATTCATCAGCTGCTCAGCGCTGCTTTCATGCTGCTCCAACCAGCAGTCCAACCCCCTCCACCTCCTCCAGCATTAGCATTTCAGTTTTTCTGTTCAGAATGAGCTCATGTAAATTTAACTGCTGTGTATCTCCCTCTCTGCCTGGTGTAGTGAGCACAGAGACAAGTCTGTTTCACTACTGTGTGGATTTACATTGGAGTGCCACAGGAGCAGAGCTATGCATGGCTAACCCAGAATGTGCCCTGTTGTTGTAATAAATAGCTGACACCAGGAATGAGCATCCTGATCGAACTGTCAACTTAATGTGACCCACCTTCATACGAATGCTTTCAGTTCTGCCTTATCCATTGAGACGTCCATTTTCAAATCACTTTCACCGCCAAAGTTGGAGTGGAAACAGGACAAGCAGAGCGGCCCAGATCTCTTGCTGGGAAATTTACTCTAATCCATCCAAAGTCTGCTTGATCTACCAGTGAGTCTTCTCCCACTTGGTCTTGCCTGCTTTCTCTCATTAATTCAAAAAATGAATTTTATAAAACCAGGTTTGTCAGCGTTAACTTCACATTTGAAATGTAATTTTATGAGTTTGAATTGAACTGTCTATAGAAATTCTTATAAAAACAAGGGCATTGTTTGGGTGGGGGGGTTGTATCTTGGTATACTAAATGTGTTTCCTATTATAGATTTTTTTATGATTTAGTGGTTTGTAATTAAGTGGTTATATTTGGTAATTTTACTGTTAATCTGTGTTTCAGGTGTAGTGCCTGCCAGGGACTACACATGGAAATGAGCTATTAGCTAATTGTGGCGTAAGACATCTCTTCTCATTATATGAGATTAATGTTTCTCTTACGCATGGCCCCTGATAAATAAACTTTATAATCATAGCAATAATAAATGCCTCTAAAGGAAGGTGACCAGGAAGCATACCTAGTTGCCCAGCAACTTGAAGGAGCCGTGGCTTGACACTGAGGTCTGGTTGAACCACTAAGTAGCCCAGCTTGTAAACGGCTGCTCGTGTTCAGTCTAAAGGCCCATGCACATGCTTCAGTTTGTGCAAAATGCAAAGAAAGAGAGACAAATGGTTCCCAGCTACCCCTGCAACTTGTACTCAAAGTCTAGTTCTACAAAACACAGAGGAAATCTCCTGCTTTTGAGGTTTGAAAATCAGAATTACACCAAAAACTGTGTGATTGCAGGATGTTTTAGCTCAGAGGGAATATTGCAGCCTGCAGTCATGCCTCTCACGTCACCTCTTGCTTTTGTTCTGCCACTGCTTCTGGCCTCTGAGAGACAGTTTGTATCTATCTGAGGTATCAAAGCATCCATCTGGAATTTCACCCTGATACATCTGTCTCCAGTGAGAAAGAAAGGGGAGTTGGAGTGAAGTGCAGAGACAGGGAGATCAACAGAGAACAGTTTTAGAGAGGATAGAGGGATGGGGGAGAGAGAGAGACTTTGAAATGAGAGAGATGTGGAGAAGTAAGACTGCAAGGCCAGACTTGAAGAGTGTGGTAATACCGTGTCAGAGATCAGGCTCTCACCCTGACTTGGTGCATTAATTAAGCTTTGAGTGGTGATGTAGGAGGACAGCAGACAGTGGAGAGACCGCTGCAGCCCTCTGTCCTTCACTCACACCACAACATGGCAATCAGAGTGTGGATATTGATTTTATAATGTGTTTGTGGCATTTGTGTGAGTGTATATGTGGCTGTTTCTGGTTTTACTACATAATGTATTAAAGTGTCATCTACTACATTGTACCTAGTATCTGTGTGTTTGTGTGGATGTTATCACCTACATGGCAGTTAAACACTATATTCCATCATCGCATGAAGAAAGCAAAAGCAGCACGTTTGGGTTTTATTGTCACTGCATATGTTTGACACATGAAAACTAAATGTTGTTGCTCATAGAGCTCAGCGCAACATAGAACAGACCCACAAACAACTGGGATGTAAACTGGTGTGTGTTCTTTTGTTTTAGCAGACTTGACATGTTGGTGGTATTCCAGCAAAGCAGTCTTTAAAAGTGGTGATAGTGATGATGAAAATCTGTCAGGGCGGGCTCACAGGTAGGCTGATAAAATAACAGCAGTGGTGAACGCAGACAGATGGCGCGGTTGACACTTCACTGTGATGAACGCCACTAGTGGAGAACAGTCTTTAGACAGGACCACAGCATTAGTGCACCATTCCCTGGTGACATAAACACACAGTCCCACCAGACAGCAGTGATGGCCTGTCATCTCTGTAGAGAGTTGGCCCGTACAGAATATTGCCAAGTTTCAGTGGAAAGTGCGGCAGTGGAGTAGGTCTTTATTGGTGTTAGTCACAGTAGTCCTCATAGTTACTCTAGAAGATGTCTCGAAGAGTCTGGCGGATGGAGCTCAGTGCTTTTTATTTTCCACAGTTGAATTCATGACAAAAGCACTGAATATTTGGCCCACAAGAGGCTGCTGCTTTTGCACATGCTGCCATGGCAGCCAAAACATCAGTATATGTGTCCTCTTAACAAGAACTGTATTATAGGCCAAGCTGCTGTGGCTTGTGCTTTCTAGTTATCTAAACCCCTCAGATCAGAAATTCTCAACACAATCCCGAAATTGTCTGGTATACACAGTACATGGTCAAAAAATTGCAACGGTTGTTTCATTCAGATTTATTTATGACAACTTGTGCCTAAAAATAATGGAAGATGACGCAATTTAATTAGTATTTAATTTCAGTTATAGGTTAAAACTGCATATACTTCATTTTGAAACATTAACAAAGTTCTGAAAATCAGATGATGTAAATTACAGGAGTGGGCATTCATGATTTTTGGATTTTTCATAGTTTTACCATAGTTTGTTGTCCATTCAGGAGCTGGTTTCTATTTATTTGTTTTGTCTTGTAACTGGGACACAAGGATAATAATTTTAAAAATCCCTTCATCATAACAATAAAAAACACTTTAACATTAAGGGGATTTATAGGTGACAACAACAAAATCTTATTTTGTGATTTTTTTACAGTAACTTCAGTCTGCATTTTGAATTGTGATCAGTTTGGAAACAATAATCCAGTTTTCCGTTTGTAGTAAAGAAAAATTTAATTATATATAATTCCAGTAAGAGTCATACGTTTAGCAATCTTAGGAACTGTTACAAGGTGCTTTACAAATGTTAACCCTCACACAATGAAACAAAGACAATACAAATGTCTAAAAGCTCTAAACTTATTGTTAGCCTTTATGTGTTTATTACATTGTGAGATTCGTTTATGCACCATTACATCTTTCGTTGCTCTTTGTACATTGTGTAGCAAGGCTCATTTCATGCTCCAAAATCCTTCATCTAATGATACAAGAATGAAGTGAGTGAAAGCAAGACAGACTCACTGTGGCCTCAAGCTTGTATTCGTTCTCCTTACTAGATAAAAAGTAGATCTTTACACCAGAATAACTGCAGAGAGATGGCGAAGCAGGAAAACAGCAGGTTAACACTGTATTTGTGCAAGATAGAGAGCATACTGTCAAATGTCATGCTGTCATCTACAAGTTCATTAAGAAAAGTAGCAAAACTGGTAAAGTGGTCCTGCAACTCTGTGTATCTGTCTATTTGTTTTTGCATGTATTGTGAGCGTTTCAGCAGCGTCTGATCCCGGTTGTTCTCCTACACCAGTACAATTTGCCTGGTGTCTTATGAGTACTGAGACATACACGGTGACTAACACGTGGTTTCTTCACTGAGACGGCTTGGAGTGGTTTCATTTCCTGCTCACCTACCTTCACTGTCACGTCCCTGTATTCTGTCTCCCTCGCTTACCTTTTAACTTCATCTTTCTGCACTTGTCTGCCCGGCATTTATTTAACTCACCACTCACCTCGGTGTGCTTTCCCTGGTCCCTGATGGTTTTTCCAGAGGCATTTATGTTGTTATTAAAAAAAGAAAAAAGCAGATCCAATCAGCAGCTAATTAAAAAGGTAATGGGAGAATAATAACCCAGGCAGAGAGGAGGTGTGCTCAGGAATGGACAAATGGAGGGAGAGCAGAGCTGTGAGAAGTGAAAGAAAGGTGGACCACAAATGGAAAAGTCAGACCAGAGCTATGCACTGGGAAATGACCAAGGGCATATCAATGAGAAGAATGATTTGTTACAGGCTGGGCTGTAGCGGAGCAGGTGTAGAGCAGGGGACAGTGATCAGGGGTAGATGACAGACCCAGATGAAAGTAGAGACTGTTGACGTCACACACAGATGTGACCTGCTGCTCGTCCAGCTGTTAGCTGAACCAGAGGCAGCACAGCTGGCAATGAGGCAGCAGTGAGGAGGAGGAGTGATTGGTTAGAATGTCCAACCTGTGACGTGCAGAGTTCAGAGGAGGATATGCATGTGTTGTTTGTTGTGTCAGTTTTCTTTAATGCATTCAATTACGTGCTCAAAAGAATAGTTCATTTTTTGAACCATTTCCGTTCTTAATCACAAGAAACAAATGGATACTGAGACGTGCTCCAATTTGTTTTCAGGGAAATGATAGATGATTGCACACTTTTGTGCACTTTTAAGTTAGACTTCTTAAAGTAAGTTCAATTAATGTATCTCTTTATGCTAAAGTACACAATAATACTGTGTACAATAGTATACTTCCAACTTAGTAACAACAGCTTGGCTCTTTGTGGCCCCAAGTACAAAGCAAAGCCCTTAAAGACGTGGTTTTTGGAGCACTGACATCAACCTCATCCAACAAAAAAAAAACAGGAATTCCAACATCTGAGTCTCTACTTTTCTTACAGGTCAATGGAAACTAATCCCATTCTTTCCTGTTTTCATGACTTAAAAAGAACATTTGTTTAAATTAATTGGGCATGGCTCAGTTTGAGTTCATTATTAGTAGCAGCTGTATATTGAGGAGGATGCCTTTGTTTGCTAATTTAATGCCATAAATTTAGTCTACACATGACAGTCGTAAATAAGAGATTGTGCCAGTGTTTGTAAAGTCACAGATAAATTCTAACTGAGGCATTAAACAAAAAACTTTTTTTGATATCTGTGTGTTGTTTCACATAACCCTGCTTCTTTCTACCTCTAATGTGATAATGGCATCTTCAGTTCAGGTTCTCTCACCATCAGTCTGGCTAATCACTGATGCTTCCTGCCTCGTACACGGAGCGGATCTAAAGCACACTCTGGTCTCGCTTTCTTTCTCTCATGACAGGTGGAAGAGATTCGAGGTTTTATCGAGTCTCTGGCAGAGAAAGTTGAAGAGGTGAAGAGGAAGCACAGCGCCATCCTGGCCTCACCTAACCCAGATGAAAGTAAGGCAGTTTGATTTTTATGTTTCTCGTTTAATTCTCTCAGGGTAACAGGTTCAACACAGCTGGACCTTCATAAGTGTTTGTGCTCCAAAAATATTTTAGTTTCATTATGACCAGACTTGAGTATCTCAGGAGGTCAGGTGGAGTTTTTGCAGTTTTTCTTTTCATTGTGCAGTTGCATTTTATCCTCTGGTTCCAAAATATCACATAGGTGTGTGATATTAGACAAAATCATGGCATTTCCACTGCAGAAGTGTTTTTAGTGGATGAAGAGGCTTTTGAGGAGCTTTGGAACATGACCTACACTCATCTGGAACTACTGGGGCAAGGTTTGCAGGGCTACATGGAAAATGAGGAGTAAAGTTAAATCGCATAAAAAATAAAATTAAATTAAAAAAAAATTAAAACCCACTTATGAAGGTTTCAAAAACATACTGGCGTCCATCAATGTTTGTTATCTGGACCTTGTTCTTAGGTAAGAACAGAATCTGCGCACACTCAAGAGCACACACACATATTTGAACGCTGACGTGTGTGTGAGATTCACATTCATGAATCAGACGTAGACTTTTTTAGGACCTTAAAAACCAAACACTCTCTCAAATTGTCAAATTTAGACAGATGTGTTCTTTTCTACCTCCGCATTTCCCTTTTTTATTCATTCTTGACATTTAACTGAAACAGCATAGCTAGGCAACAGTAAACACAATGGACAACAACATTTTATCATCTGTTATTCATTGGTCTGATTTGACTAATCTTCATGTTCTTCAGATGTAGTGGAACCAGTGTTCTAGTACTCAAGTCCAACACTCTGACTCAGGTCCAACTAGAGCCCTAATTTTCAGACTTGGACTTGGACTCGAGCATTGACTACATTCAGACTCGGAGGTTGGAGTCGAGGACTCAGACTTTTATTTATTTATTTGTTTATTTTTGTAATAGGCCATAATAATTTGGCATAAGATACTGATATTAAAACTGGTTCACCTGCACCATTCTGTACCCGACACACTTCCATCAATGCGTACACTCTGCCTTTCTATAAACGATTTTTATGTATCAAACTGCTGAGCATCATGGTGATGCAATACACTATTAGAAAGTTTGAATCAGAATCAGAATCAGCATTATTGGCCAGGTGTGTCGGACACACAAGGAATTTGACTCTGGTACATCGGCTCTCAATGTGCAGCCCCTTGCTTGCCCCTTGCATTGGAATATAAAAATCTAAAATTGCGACAGCTGTGTCAATTGTGTTTAATGGAGACCCTGATGACTCTGACTTGGATAATGGAGACTTGACTCAAACTTGACACGGATTATTCTTTGGTGAGTCAGACATCACTTGGATTTGAGGTTTAGTGACTCAACTAGAACACTACTGAGAATGAAAGGGGCATTATGTTGCTAGTTTACTTTCTGCGTATAGGCAGTTTGAGTTTAGTTCCCAGGAAATGTTTGATTAAAAAGTGTCAGGGTTCTGCCCTACCACTTCCTGTGTTGGGCTCTTATTTTGTCGCCATTTCCTGTTTTAGGTTTATTTGTTAGGGTCTCCTTACAATAATCAGTACTCATTACCTGCACCTGGTTTCACCCCATTATAAGCAGCCTTCTCCCATCAGTAACCTGCCAGATTGTTCTTGTTTTCGTGCAGATTTTCCAGCGTTATTCTTGCTTTAGTGACTCATGTTCTTGACCCCGGATTGTTTCCTGACTACCGATTTCTGCCTAGCCCTCCTGAGTGTTGTATGTTTATCCTGTGTAACGACTACTGAACCAGCTTCTTGACCTCCCATTTTTGGATCCCTTGGCTGTGCTCGTTTGCCGGTATTTGACCCTGGACTGTTGTTGACGTGGATATTGGATTCTGGACTATCGCTCTGTATTGTCTGAGTGTATATGGTAAACCATACTATATTACCCCATCTCGCCTGGCTTTGTAATTGAGTCCACCGTTAACATTGTGGGTAGCTTTTCGGACCGACCCTGACAAAAAAGGGCTAAATGAGTGGAGAAACATAATGACGGCAGATGCTTCCACACATGGTTCAAGGGTCACTGAATGTCTTAATTTAGCTTTTAGATTGGTCTGTTGCAATAAGCCACCCTAGCCCTAGGCTAACTCTGAATTACTCGCCATGTTTCCATGGTAACAGTCAGTGGCATGGTTCATAAAACATGGCTCATGATTTGTAGTTTTCTAACAAAGTTGTGAGGTAAGTAATGAGAGGAGAACGAGTAGTTAGAGAGTGCAGTAACCTGTTGGAAGTATAAATCAGCCATTCTCATTTACCTAAGGAAAATATCATGAGCCAATTAGCAGAAGTACTAAAATTAGCCCTGCAATATTAAGAAGCCACATTTAATCTCAGCTACACATCTGCACTGCATTGAGATTTTATGCGACTCTAAGTTGGTTTTAATTGTTCATCTCCGTGCTGTTTTTCTCACTAAAATATCCCTGTAACATTCTTTGCTCAAGTGAACAGAGCGGAACCATAGAATGGTTACTTGGCCACGTTTTTTAGTTTTAAAAAGTCTTAATTTACTCAGAATTCATGGCAAATGAGTCCTGTTTAGACTGCTGCTATAGTTGTTTGAATTAGTTACATCTAATGTGTGAAACTGGCCCCAGATCTCAACCTTACAGAGCCTCCTACAGCATGACAGATTTTACACTGGGCCCAGTATCATAAGCTGTCCAAATGAGGGAATATCCAGTGTGACAGTACTTTTGTTCCACTCTTATATTCTGTTGGTCTTTAATAACATTAATGTTTAATGCTGCAGTGACTCAGTAATGAGTCAGAGAAGCTCTTAATGGAAGAAAGAAAGAGAATAAAGCCAAAAGCTACTGTTTTACATGCAGTTTAATGTACAAAGGCAGCCAAAAGCCTGATATTAGTAGCAGATTCCACTGAACAAAAGCCAGATAAATGACTCCATACTTTAAAAGAAATTGAGCAAATAAAGAACAATTTGTGACAAAAGGCAAAACCCTGCCTGTGAATGGAGACTGCGATCAGTGTGAGAAGATGAAGATGGTCCTCTCTGGTCACCCCTGTTTGTCTATTTTTTTCCACTTTTCTGCTCCTTCTTCATTGCTTTTTAGTCCTGTCTAACACCATGTGCCCTATTTCTCTGTTTCTCTATTCTCCCATTTCAGCCACTCTCCTCTCTGCTTTTGTTCAGTCTGTGCTGGATACTACAATCCACCTTTCCCCCTTCTCTTCCTCTGTTCTCTCACACCTCCTCCTCTTTCATTTATGTCAGAGCATTGATCTAGGCCCCTGCTCTCACAAGGTGCATGTTGCTCACACTGCTAACACCTCCCTGTTCCTTTTCCTCTCCCTGATTCCCTGTGTCCTACCTGAAAAAGCATCTGTCTGCTTGCAGCAGCAGGCATCAGTTCACTTTAGCTACAGTAGCTGGGCTGTGCAGATTTCTCCCACAATTTGTCTCCTTTGTGACTGAAATCAGTGATCTGTGTGTGTGTCTACCTGATAAATGCACATCAGCCAGCACATGATGTAAATGTCAGGGTCGTTCATTACATGGAGGTCAGTATGTTCTTCACTGTCTGCCTGTTGCGTTGTGGCCAACTGGACCTGAATCATTGGAATATTCCATCCCAAGATGCCACTTTATCTCCTTCATAGCAGTGTGTGTGTCTGTGCTCCATACACAACTCATTTGCATTGAGTAATACGTTTTGTTTGGAGACATAATGGTGCCCAGACTATATTTTAATCAACATGACAACAAAACAAACAGTAAACCAGGACTAGAGTACACAGTGAATTCAGCAGTTATATTAAATATTAAATGTATCTGCACAAACATCACTATGAGCATTTCTCATTGCTTTGCTTGACATTATGCACTCCTAGCAAATAACACATGATTCCTGTATTTATGGTTATGTGTAGGCAACTCAAAGCTCTGGGATGAGAATATTAAGAAGCAGTGGTCTTGGTTAAATACAGTACTTAAAGAGGAAAGAGGTGTACAACCCCAAAGCAGAAAAGGTTCATACAGCATGTAAAATCAAAACTAAAACTGAAAATAGTGATGTGTAGGTGTAATTTTGTCCCATTGTTCCTGCAAACAAGTCTTAAGGTGCACAACAGTCCTGAGTCTTCGTTGACATGACTTGTGTTTCAAAATGCACCACACATTCTATCGGGGGACATGTTGGGACTGCAGACAGGCCAGTCCAGCACTCACACCCTCTTCCTTCTTCACAGCCAGGCCGTGGTAATGTGCCGTATGAGGTTTTCTGATTTGAGGTTGTATTTGTACAGTAGTTTTATCCATGTTAGCAGCCTGACTCTCCACCACTTTGGTCCACACCGAAATAGCTCAACAACCACTGGATGGACTGTCATAAAATGTGGAAAACACATTTATAGATTCATTAGGATGAGATGGTGATCCCTGATTTTCAATATAGCAAATTTCAGTTAAAAGCTGGTTTATGAGCAAATAACTGCAAAACTAATGATAATTAGCCTTAGCTGTAGTTTTTTAGGGGCCTTCCCCGGGGAGGAGGCCCCGGGGAAGACCCAGGACACGCTGGAGGGACTATGTCTCTCGGCTGGCCTGGGAACACCTCGCCATTCCCCCGGAGGAGCTGGAGGAAGTGTCTGGAGAGAGGGAAGTCTGGGCATCTTTACTTAGACTGCTGCCCCCGCGACCCGGTCCCGGATAAGCGGAAGAAAATGGATGGATGGATGTAATTTTTTAGACTGTTTTTGTTATTGAGAGCATGTGAGCTTTGTGATGTTACTGTACGACTGTGTACAGGCTCACAGAGTACTTACGCCTTGTCTACAGAGAAGGCGTAGTGTGAGCAGTGTGTTGGCAGAACAGCATCAGCAGCAGCAGCGCTGTGTGTCTCAGATGTAGGTCACCTGCTTTTCTGAAGCATTCAAAGTCCGATACAGCATCACTGTAGTCAGGCACATAACACACAGGAAAATAAACTTAAGTAGGTT